GAATGTTATGTTTGCTATCTCGTAACTAGAACACAAAGAGAAAATTCAAAGCATTAGTGACTGCATAAAAGGAAAGTGCAGTGTCATATAGAGAAAGAAGGAAACTGAGTTCCTAATCATCAAGGAACGCATAAAGGGAAGGCAGAGAGGTGAGAACAAAGACAATCCGGAAGGCAACCAGATACCGCAATGGAACCAGATACCGCAATGGAACCAGATATTCTTCAATCTCTTCATCTATCACACATGAATGTCATAAAGTCAATGTCCTAATTAAAGGGTTCTTATGAACCATCAAAGGCTCATAAAAAGTATTTTCGAAGTCTAACATGAGGTACCAGCATCAAGATTATCTTCATTCTTCAATTTTCACTTTTGTAGAACCACATGTCCCTGTTTCTCTTTCATTTCCTTCTTCTACGTTAATAATCATTCTCCCATGTAGGTGGTGTTAACCTTTTACATAAAATGAAAAATTGCATTTCACATATTGCATTTCTTCTTATTATTTATCTTGAAGTAGAAGAAACCTCATGATTGGAAGCTAAGGTTTTAAACCCTTCTATTGCAAGTAGTACATGATGGGACGTGTTGTTCTTGATAACTTTCTCATGCTAGAGTTTGTGTTTCAGTCATCAAAACTTATATTTTGTTCTTCATTAGCCATAGATGACTTGCCTTTTAAGCAAGTTGCATTCATTCAATCAATGGCAAATGAGAAAGGAAATAGTTATTGGGAAGCACAATTACCTTCACCTTATGATAGAGTTGGAATTGACAATTTCATTTGTGCAAAATATGAAAGTATGTTCTAAAACAGTATCCCAAGCCACCAATTACCTCTATTTCATTTCTACTCTACTAGTGAAAACATAATATTATAATTAAATATTATACTAGTGAAATATTATAATTAAATATTATTCATTCTATTTATTTGTTTAAAGGAAAAAATATGTGTTGGTAATGAGAAATATTTAAGGTAAAAAAAATATAACTACCAAATTATTCCAAATTATTCAGACTGAAGCATAATATGAATATTAACATAATTTATTTAAAAACATTTAAAAGAGAGAAATATTTGTTGGAATATTATTTGGTTTTTAAAAGGCCACTTCACAGCTTAGTAAAAAACGTTTAAAAGTTCCAATTTTTAAAAAATACAAACTTTTTTTTTACTAAATGGTCTAAAAAATTATTCATAAGTTTATATAACTTAAATTACAAACTTGTATTAAAATAATTTATTTAAGACACTAGGAAGGATTCACTTTGCATAAAAAAAAAGATTGAGCAATAATAGCTCAAACACTTAGTTTGCAACAGAGGCGCAGGCCTAGACTCCCAATTATTGGGGGCCCAAAAATAAAATAAGACCACTATTCCATTTTTTTACAATAGATGGGTATTGAACCATACTTCCCTATTAGATGATGATATGTAAGGGTGGAAACAGACTAGGCTGCCTATCAGGGGCCTAGTACCTAACCTATAACAGGTTAGGTCAGACCAAAAAAATTTAGTAAATATGTCAGGTTTATGCTTCTCCAATAGCCTATTTAACCTAAATAGGTCAGACTCATGCCTTTTAAAAAATATATTAAGCCTAACAGTCCCACCTATGTAATATTATTATATATTTATAAATTATTTTTTATAATATATACAAAAAAAATTAAATAATAATTTTTTATGTAAATCCACTAGGATTTAGATACTAGAATATTTAATAATTAGACATTTAGTTGTTGAGATTTGGGCATAAGTACATAACACAACCCATGTAAGTGTGTAATTTTTCCTAACTTGTAAATAATGTGTTGAATTTTTTACCTTAACAGACCTTTAAACATACTAACAAGTCAGACTAGACTTTTAAACAGGTCAAACTTAGGCTATGATTTTTTTTTTAAACAGACTAACAGGTTAAGCTCAGGCTCCTATATGTTATATATAGGCTCGACCTGTTTAAGATAAATTCTGACCTGATCTAATCTATTTCCACCCCTAATGATATATATGATGGGCGTACAATGATGATATGTATGACGAACATACAATGAAAGTAACAAAATTTACATTTATTTGATATTCAACTTGTTATATAGCTGAATAATCTTTATTAATGAATCAAACAAGTCAAGTTTGAACTAAAAATTAAACTCATTAAATAAATAAGTTGAATTTAAATAAAGTACAATTCGGCTCGCTACATTCATGAGGTGACTCGATTATATATATATATTATATGTATAAGTGTATAGGTATATGTATATACATTTGTACATATTTATACATGTAGAAAATCTTTAATTTTATAATTATTGAATAAATAATTATTATTCGAGTTTTCGAAGTTAACTATTCGGACTAATCATTTGAACCAAACAATCCATAAACTTTATGAACCAAACAAATTCGAGCTGATGAGTCGATCGAAAAGTTCGCAAACTTCAATCGAGTTGAATCCGAGTTGGAAATATAGCACGTTTCAAACTTGAGTCGAACAAATCCTTATCGAGCTATACTCTAATTCGACTTGATTAAACTCATTTCCAACCCTAATTATATATCTAAAACTATATACATATAATCTATATAAATGTATATATGTTACTCTCTTGGCGATGCTCCTCTAATGTACGTCTTGCACTTTAAAGTCATTTGTTCTTAATTTAAAGATAATACTGATGTTAATCCATTGATTGAATATAATAATCATATTCATTTATCATAATTAATGGCCAAGAGGAGTCAACCCCACTTTTTATATATTAAAATATATAATTATAATTTAAGTGAACCAATTAATTAGTGACCTATACACTGTCAGATTTGATGATTACATAAACATTATAGGCTTCCTAATAATATTAATAGTATTTTTGGAAAAACTTTGTTGTGGGGAAAATGTTTCGACACTTTCCTTGATCAGAACAAAGGTTAACAACAGGCTTATCCCTTTGCAAACATAAAAATTGAGTGATTTTCCCCTCATCTACATTATAGGTAAATGATAATTATAGTTAGAGTTTTAAGAGATTATTATATTATTATATTATTATATGGGATACAATCAATAGTTTTAATGGTAAATGATAATTGAATCTGAATATGGTCGAATTTTAATGGGTTTAAGACTAGATTTAGGTTTCAAAATTAAACTCGATCAATATTTACGGTCTAATAAGGGATAATCATTATCTGACCTGTCTCATGACATCCACTTACTAATGTTTGTATGTATCTATTCAATTGTGTATAAAATAATGATAACTCTTTCATTCAAAGTAGATAATATATTTTCTTGCAACAACTTATCTATTAATATAATTTCGTGTTTTTAAATGTGCTTTTTCAATGGGTTTTGCTACTTGTTTTGTAACAAATGATTTATTGTCACAATGTGTATATCATTCATATGTCATTAATTCTCTAATATTTTCATTATAAATATATATATGTAAATGGTAATAAAATATTTACATATATATTATTTCATATATCAAATTGCATATTCATAATAATAATATTGATATAAATTTATCAAAAATGAAAACACATTATACTTAATAGAGTTTATGGCCAAGTTAGATTCAAAAAATAACTTAATCAACATTTAAGGTCATGTAAAAAGAAACCTATTCAACTTAAACGATTCATACTCACCCCTAATAACTATTAATAATACACTAATGAGTTAAAATTAATTTGGTTCATTCGAAATTAACAATAAGAATGTGATTGATAAAATGTAATAATTTCTACTTTCAACTCAACCGAAAATGTCAACAAAATTTCAGTGAAGAATTGTTGAAGTTACAAGGAATACAACACCATGTTATTCACAAGAATCACGAGGCTAGCAGGAAATTAATAATTAATTATAATGAAGCGCCAACTGTGAGGAAAACATTGCCAGAGTTGTTGCAATTACTTCCCCTTGGGAATTTATTGATTGTCTATCATGGATGTAAACTGTTACGTTTTAAACGAACTAAGTGATGTGATTCCGTTCAGTGATTTTTTAAGAAATTATTTAGGCTCCATTCATTTCATAGCTTTAGAAATTTAGGAATCATTCAACATAATTCAACCTATACTAAAGAAATAGATATTATAAATTAATATTTTATTATTATTTGAATTCTTCAACCAATTTTATACCTTAAATTATCAATTTTATATGAAGTGTAATTTATATATGATAATAAATTGTTATTATGTTAGTATTATATTTATTACTACTTAATACATTGTTATATATAGAGGTGAGCAGGACCCGACCCTATCCGCTCACCCGGTATGGCCTGATAGTGGTCGGACCAGAAAAGGATCGAGTCTCATCAGGTCTAGGGCCGGGTTCGGGTTCAAAAATTAGACCCATTCAATATTTAGGGTCGGGTAGGAACCAAACAGGACCGTCCCGACCCGTCCCATTTTCACTTTCTCATTATGTTTGTATGTGTCTCTATTTAAATATATACAGAGTAATGATATTTTTTGGTTGAAAATATCATTGATTATCTAATTTTACATCATATATACATGTTTAATAATATATATATACACATATATTATTTTATATGTCAAATTACATATTCACAATAATAAATAATATTTAGAAAATTTTATGTAAAATGAGTATATGTTATATTTAATCGTGTCCGGATTTAAAGGCTGACCCTGTGAATATTTAGGGTCGGATTAACTCCGGGTCTAGGGTCGGGTCCGGGTTCAAAAAAAATGGTCCGAACAACATTTAAGGTCGGGACTCGTCCCAACCCGACCCACGCTCACCCCTAGTTATATATATATATATATGTAATATTTTCTTAGTGTCATGGTGATGTTAATTTATTCTAATTTTCATGATTTTTTAATGATAATAATAGTAGTCTTTTACTTTTATAGATAAATAATGTCTCTTATAATATATTTTGAACTTTCAATTGATCCAAAAGAATTACCAAAAAAGATTATGAAAGCCGTAGAAATGAATCAATCCATTCATGAATGGGTGAACTTCTTTTCCCGGAGAAGAATCAATGACGGTATCCGGGGAATAAGCATAGGCTAACTCTGTGCCAGCAACCACGATAAGACAAAGGATGCAAGTGTTATCCGAGATGATTGGGCATAAAGCATCTGTAGGTGGCTTTTTAAGTATGTCATTAAGTATCAGTTCTTAAAATAAAAATTGCGGTTAATTAAGGTAAACCGAACTATATTTTTGTATTTGGTTCAGTCATTGATCAAAAATTGAATCGAACAGAACTTCTACATCCTTATGATCAAAAATTGAATCGAACAGAACTTCTACATCCTTATCCCTCTACATAGTTAGAACTCCCACAATTATCCTTCCATAGTTCCATTCATTTGGCCGCACAGATCCCTCAAGAAAACGAGTCCCTCTCTTAGGTCCAAAACCATACGAAACTATTTGATTAAATAGATGTGATTGTTGTGATTTTGAACCCTCCCAAAATTTTAATATGCGAACTATTATGTACAAATACTGTTGATGTGGTTGTCAGTAGCTCTCAAAACGCATTAACATTTACATTTAAAACCTTGAAAATTGTGTGCCGACCTTTCCTTCATGGAACAACGGTCCAAAAATTTTTGTCACTATGTCCCTAACCAATTATATTTTCAAGTAGTAAAAACATACTATTGTCTGTTTTTATATTTTTTTCTTAAAAAGCTAACATTTTTTAATTGAATTGATACACAATGGAACACCAAATATGAGATAAGTAATCTCTATTTTCCTACATGAAGAGAGATTTTAAAATGTTAGAAGTAAAAGATGGGTTAACAATTTACAATTTTTATTTAAAAATATTTTAAAATCTGAACAATTAAAAGAATTTCAGCTTAATCTACACCTGGTACTGAATCCTCTTTAAGACAATCTGGTTTCCCCTTCCATGAACTCATTTGTGAAGTAAGAGATAAAATGATAGTAGTAATAATAATACAATATTAACTAAGGTTAAGAATCATACTACGTAGTATTTTGGACCCATTTTAACCAAGACTTCCCACAGCCGTTGGATCTCTCCAAAGACATCATCAGACGGTAGCCTGAACCTGCAGCAAGGGCACGTGTTTCTCTTCCTCAGCCAAGGCAATATACACATCCAATGAAACAAGTGCTGACATGGCAATTCGCATACATCTCTTCCTACTCTCATCTCTTCTTTGCATATCACACACTCTTTCCCACCCACCATCACCTCCACTGCCGGCAGAGCAACCACCGTTGACGCTGCAGCCGCCACCTCCTTCCCTCCACCACCACAACCCAATGCTTCCACCATCCTCCAGCACCGGGCCACCATCTCAATATAAGGTATTAATATTGTCCCTACACAAATGGGTGTAACTGAAGAACAAGAAAGTTTCAACAAAGTATGAGAGTAGAGCTTGCACATGTTCACCCTCCATTCTGAATAGGGTGCATTCAAAGCTTCTGGGCTGTGTTTGTTTGTGTCACAGAACAAGAGTAGTAGTAACACAGCATCAAGCCCACGCTGCCTGATTGCGGTGAACAGAGGCAGCGGTGGCGATGATGTGAGGTGTTGGGTGAGGTGGTGGAGAGATGAGAGAAGGTGGCGGGCAATGAGGAGGGTCTTTTGGGGGAGGGAGAGTGTGTTGAGATGATGAAGGGTTAAAGAGAAAAGGGTTGGGGAAGAGAGGACGAAGGAGAGGCGGCGATGGTGGTGGTGGGTGGCTGAGAAGATGGTGTTTGTGAGATTTGAGAGATGAGAAGGTGAGAGGGTGGAGAGTGCAGCCATGATGGCTGCTGTTGTTTCTTCCATTATGGGATCATGTGCTTGGGACTTTGGCTTTTTAGATAGTGCACTACTGTAGGAATGTTGAAGAATGATCACTCGTCACAAGAAATTGGTGTCTTTATGTCTTAAATCAATCACATTGTACTAAATAATGTAATCATTTTTTAATTGAGTTGGCACACATTTGGGACATAAAAAATGGGACAAATGATCTTCATTCAAATTTTTTAACAAATAAGATGTTTCCCCAATTCAATCAAATTCTAATATAAAAAAATTATTTTCTATTTTTATAATTCATAAAAAGGGATAAATAATCCCATTTAGGACAATGATCATTTGTCCCATAATTTTTCTGTCCTCACATCCATAATCAATCAAACTTCACAAAATAATATTAAAATATTAATTTTTTATTTTAGTTGAATAAAACGTTCTAAATGACTTGTTACACAAAATAGGACATGATCACATGAATGAGACATATAACTCCCATTAATTTACTATTTCATCTATCATAATAATAATATAAAAGTTGAATAATAGAAATAAAGTAAACAATAAAAATATAGAAATAAAGTAAGGTATAAATATGGATTAAATTTATTAAAACAATAAAGAGTTGTTGGAATAACATGAACAAAAGATATGAACAGAGGGGAGTATTTCAGTAGATTATTACTGGTCATAGCTTGTATGGACCAATCTATCCTTGATATGATTCTTGTTGCCTTTTCTACTATGTAGTTTTTAATTCTTTATTATTTTTCCTTTTAGGTCGGTCACTTTGGTCAATATGTATTTAGTAACAGTTACTTTATAGTATGCTCAGAACATGATGTTATAAAAAAAAATTATATATATTTTATCCAAAAAAATAAAATATTTTTTTAATGCTATATATAAACCTATGAGCTTATTTCAACCACTCTGGTAACGAATATGATATTATATTTGGAACTTACAGAAAATATTTTCTACTTGATTGGGTGTGCTTGACTTTCTACACGTTTATTACATCAAGATTCACAATTATTTGACTTTATACCAGGAGTAATAGTGGAGAATACTCTTTTTTTTACCATCACTTTTGGGTGCTCGAATCCTTTATTTTTTAAGCATTCAATGTACAAATTTCATAAATTAAAAAAATTCCGAAATATTATTAATTTTAAGAAAATATAATTTTACATCAACTTCTTAATAGGGGAATAAAAAAGTCATGAAAGAACAATTAATATCTCCATTCTTAAGTAATAGATAAAACATTAATATTTTTCAAAAAGTCAAAAAAGAAACAAAATGTGGCAAAATATTTAAAAAAAATCTAATAAAATAATAGTGATATAATGTATAAATTAAAGGAAAGTAATCATACTTTCATGTAGGAAAATATATTTCTCCAGAAAATAGCAAATCCGTATTATGAATACTCAAGTAACCTAACCATTTAATGTAAGGAAGACAAGATAAAGATAATTATTAGTCGCTATCCGTACATCCATATTTGCAAATTAATAATTCAAAGATTGACAATCTTAATGATGTAATGTAAATCACTAATGTTTCAAAACTTCTAGATATTCTATGGATTATGAATATATTAGATGGCATATTATATATTACGAGAATAAAGTATTTTATCGTACCAGGAGATAACTTAGCTCCTTCAGTCAGTAAAGAATTACATGTATATTGTTTTATTTAGTTTTAAAAATATTTTTGTAGAAAATGATTAAATGATACACATGTCACGATTTTAGTGGCCGAATGAGATAACTTATCTCCTTATATCATGAGATACATTATTCTCATTATTTATTACCATCAAGTAGTTATAATTTTGGGCTATAGAAAGTCTAAAGCAAGATAATGTTGAGGAACTAACCATGGTGTGAACACTATTGATATAGGTTGAAGTGATAGCTTTTGTCCACATGTTAATGTCCAGAACAAGCACATTACTGACTCCTATGCTTTTCTTAATGTTTCTCCACCAATTTCATTATTGGCAATGAAACAAACACAAGAGAAAGTTCCATAATTTGTCCATGTCCGTGGCTTGTTCCTCTTGTCGCCTATAAAATACACCAAAACAATAATGCAACTAACTCTAAGATGAAGAACTAATATACACCTTCATTTACATGCATACATGACACATGTAATAGATATTGTATTTACATTATGATGGGCAATTTGGACAAAATATTATAACATTATAATATAAGGCATAGTAGACACATCCTGTTATGGAGAAAGAGTGCAATTTCAGTGGCAAACCAGGATATGATTAAAGGTAAAGATATTTAACTGATATTGGATGCTTCACAAGTAAGAACTACTTTAGAGACAGGGATGGGGTAAAGATATAAAAAGCAAAAGGAGGAGAGAGACAAGCCCCACAAAATAGAAAGGCTATTAAAATGAATCAATTATACTTCCTTTGTTTAATTACAGCTTGCTGTATCAAAAGCAATCCCCAATGTATTCCAAATCTCATTTCACCAATTTGATTGATCTTCAAAAAAATCATATACGTGGAGCCATTCTCAACAGAAAGTGTCCCTTGTGTTCCAGCTTTACACAAAATATTAGGTGCCCATCTAATCATTCAATACCACATCAAACCTAGTGGCATAAATGTGAATACAGAATGGGAAAAAAGCCGAAATCCTTCTGAAGTTGGGGATCCTAATATGCTAAGAATGTAGTTCGCGTTACGATCAATCCAGCAATTAAAAGAAGGGAAACTTGTAAATAAACATGGGTTTTAACATGCAGATTACAATTCACAGTATGTAATGTGGCCACAACATCTTGGTTCTGGCAGCCATCAAAGTCGCATCAAGCGATCATTGTGGGCCACACCACAATCCGGTTCATCAGGCCATAATGCAACTGCAACCATAACCACTATAAAACAAAGATAAAATCTTCACCCCTATTATACCCAAAGGAAAAATGATTATATGCCCTGTTGGAGCTGTGTTTCCAGTACCCTGATTACTTTCTTAGGAGTAAAATCAATAATTAATTCAGCAGGCTTAAAGTTTCTATTGACTATTGACCGAAAAGAGAGCACAGAAGGAACACATAGCACCAAGTAAAGCTTGATATTTCTGCTGGTTAATGAGATACACGTGCTATTTAGTTTCTGCATCTGAGAAGTTGAGCGGTTTTCTGTTTTCTCGGCCATATAAGAAGCGGGTGATCTACTTCACATCAACACAGATAACCATGTGTCATTGATAACTAAGAGCATTCTCATAATCTAACTCTCCCCGCAAATTATATTCTTCTTCCCTC